AGGGGGCGTCCTGTGAGGGCACGGGGCCTGGGGGAGGAGATCTGGGTAGGGCTGGCCCTGCCCCGCTCCTTGATTCTGCAATTACAGAGCAGCCAGAGGTCTCTGCTGGGACTCAGGAGGCCGGGTTCCCAGCCCCTCCTCCCTCCGATGGATGACCATCCCCAGATCTCTCCTCTTGGAGAAACCAAAAGTTTCTGGAGGAGTGAGTCAGATACTTAGACAACCAGATAAATCTTTATTCCCTCCTTGATTTTATGGCCTCTTTCTCTGTGTCCGAGGAGCTCTCATCAGCGGCGTGGCTGTTGCCGAACCAGGACTTTATGGACTCCACGACCTTCCCGGACCGATAGTACAGTGTTCTGAGGGAGGGTGGGATGCAAACAGCGGGAAAGGATCAGGTCCCGGCCTCCCTGTATTTGACCTTGGTCTAGCAATTATCCAAGCTTCGCCCTCCTAGGGAAACCCCTCCCTGTTTTCCAGCCGGGTCCCCAGTGGAAGTCCGGCGCTCGCGGTCGCAAAGCTCCCGGACGCCCCTCCGCACTGGAAGCCCCGCCCCGAGCTCCGAGCTCCGCCTTCTCCGGTGGGCAGCTCACACGGTGGCGATGCCGGCCAGCAGCACCACAAAGCCCCAGATCATCATCCCGACCAGTCGGCCTTTCAGCATATTCTCGGTGGTCGGAGACTGTGTCGACGGAGACTGGAAGGTTGAGGTCGACGGGGTGGGACCCCAGTTCACTTCGTCCGGGCCCACCTCACCATTATTTGGGATGTCTGATGACGGTATCTCCTCCACGATTCTTTTGGGCAACACTGATAGAGGAGGAGGAAGGAACAGCCCTGGGAAGGCAGGAAGGTCCCGCCACCGCCAGGCCAAGCCCTCGCCGCGCCAACCCGCCCCTGGACCCAGACCTCCCAGGAGATAACCACGCGCCTCCAACTGCGTGTAGCGGGGACACACCCAGAGGGGACTCCTGCCACTGCGGCCAGAGGCCACACCCAGAGCAGGAAGCTCCACCCCCGTGGCCTGAAACCACACCCCGATAGGAAGTTCTGCTCTCATAGGCCACGCCCCTGGAGCGCACGGTCTCCAAGCCCCGGACGCTGAATCCCAGACTCCTTTCAACTCCCCAGCACTGACCTGAGACGTTAAAATAGATGATCGTGGCTGGGCTAGACTGCACGGTGTCCAGCTGGCAGCGATAGGTGCCGGCATCCTTTGAATCCACCATGGTCTTTGTCAGGGTGGGCTCTTTCCCCTTGGACACCAAGGTCTCAGACTTGTTCGTCCAAACCTAGACCCAAGCTCAAGGGGTCACAGAGGCCTGGGGAATTCAGGGATTGGGGGAGTACAGGGGTAAGAAGATCATGGGGCCTCGGTGGGGGACATGGGAGTCCTGGATGTACTGGCCAGGGCGCGGGGTCCCCAGGGGTCACCGGCAGCCAGACTTGGTAGGTCATGGGTCACGGGGATCGTGGGCACAGGCCTGTGGATACGGGGTTCATACAGGCTTGACGGACGTGGGAGTTCAAGGGGTGCGGGAGTTGGAGGGCCCCACCCTGAAAAAGCTGTAGTCGGTCAGGCCCTCGGAGGCATGATGCCAGTTGAGCTCGCAGTCCAGGATCATGTCTTCCATTGCGTGGACCGTAACTTCGCGCTCTGGAGACAGGGGGATACATTGGGATGCTCCTTTGTCGTCCTTGGCCCTACCCCAACCCACTTCCACTAGGTGGACCCCGCCTTTTCTCGTCGCTGGCTCTAGTCTCCGCCCCCTTCAGATTCGGTCGCTCCTCTCGCTCCTCCCCTCTTGCGCCAAGCCCTCCTCCTGGGCACCGCTCTCACCCCCGCAATCCCTGGACTTCCGACAAGCGTGAACCTGCTTCTTGCAGTTACTGCACCAGATCAGAGACTGCAACATCATACCTGAAGGGGCAGGTCAGGGCCGGATTCATCCGCTAAGAGGCGTGGCTAAAAGGAGAGGGCGGGACCAGGGGTGGGGCGGGGCGGGGCTAGAGCGCGGCCTTATAGTAGCTGGGTTTAAGTGGGCTCAGGAAAATGCACATAGAATGAGCCGCTCTCCCCGAGAAGACCCTGGTGCAGAAGGAATACTAGAGATCCAGACACGGAGAATAAAGAAACAACGAGACCCAAAATGAGGAGGAAGAAGGGCTAGGTATTCACCGGGCAGGGATGAGGGAGAGAGGACCAGCTCCCACAATCCAGACTCACCACATTTGTTGGGACAAAAAGCTGCCTCGGCAGAAAGAAAAAAATGGGAATCAGATTTTTAAGTTAAAGCGGATTGGGGGGAGGAGGCAAAGGAAGAGGCTGGGGCTGGAACTCCTGGCTTTGAGAGAGGAAGGACGTGGGTGCCTGGAGGAGGGGATTGCGAGAGCTAAGGGACTAGACTGGGAGAAGCAAGGGGCTGCGGACAGGGACTCTTGGACTGTGGAAGGATGGCGCTGGGGTCCAGGACTCTCATCTTCCCTCACCCTCTTTTTGGAACTCAGCAACGTATTTGACAAAGATATCCTTTTGCAGGCTCAGCATCCAGAACAGCTCCTTCACCAAGAGCTCACCTGGAAGGAAGGATGAAGCAGAGCGGTCCCCTCCTCCTCCCCTCCAGGTGTGAGGTACAGGAAGTTCGTCTCTGCGGACCCTGGCATTCTGGGTTTGGGGGCCTTCTCAGGGAAGGACAGTGAAATCCAATGACCGCTTAATATACTGGCTCAGTGACAACTGGGGCCAGGGCACTGTTAGGGTCCATTTCAGAGGTAACGAAGCTGCAAAATCCCTCGCCCAGGGCCACAAAGCTACGGAGTGGCAGAGCCAGAATTTGAACCTAGGCAGTCTGACTCCAGGACCCTAGTCTACCTAACTACCGGACTAGGCATCACCAGCAGCAAATCGCCTTCCCCAGATTTTCTGGAGCTCCTCCCATGTCTCCTTCATGCATGTACCTTTTACGTCACTGTCCGTGATGCGTTTCAGATCCTTCAGCAAACTCCAAGATGCCTTTTCCAGTGTGGACTCATCTGCGGGAGAGATAGAACCCCAGATTCCAGTGTTCCCATCTCATCCGCTCACCTCGTCTTAGAAACTACAATACCTATGGGGCCACTGGGCCGGGAGAGGCCTGGTTAAGGAATTATCCACTCGTTGCTTTCTGGCAATTGTAGTTTTATGACTTAAAATTGCAGGATAAGGGGTAGGGAAGCAGTATTTGCTAGCCCTAGGAAACCGCGAAATCTGGACCGCGGCCTGCTCCGTCCCGAACCCCAGAGACTCTGCCCCTTGCACCCAGCAATCCTAGCCCCAGATCCCTTCTTTCCCGGGACCCAGTTGTCTGGGCTCCATCCTGCCCTCACCGACGACCCCCAGATAGGCATCCTCGTCAAACGGCAGTTCCTTGAAATCCTGCACGGCCTGCTTTACCCTTTGCATCACGTTTTCGTGATGCCCGGCCTCCAGGTGGCCAGGCAGGTAGTCCTTCTCCAAGGAGTCTAGCGCCTCCACGACCTTTACATCACACAGGACGCAACCGCGGGCAGGAAGCAGGCAGCCGGCCAGCGCCGCCACCAGGAGAGGAAGCCGCGGCCCCATCGCGGCCAAGTGCGCAGAGCCCCGCGCAGACCCCGGGGGAGAGACCTCTCACCCTCAGCCGAGAGGGGGTGCGCGCTAAACGGAGAGATGCCCTTCCCCGAGACTAACGGACCCCCGATTTGCAGGGCGCACCCTTCAGGAAACCGAGGAGTCCCGATGCACCCTGAACGGCCGCTACCCGGCCTTGACCCCAGAGTGCTGTACCCTCAAAACACTGGATTTCGCCCAAGAGCCAGAGTCCAGGTTCCGACGGTTCTGGGAGGAGGGCAGGGCCACGTCCTTCCACTCTAATATTTTCCCACTACTGAAATTAAGGATTTTGTCGGGGGCGAGAGTAAGTAAGGTTGGTTGCGTGGTAGAGAGAGCATTTGACTGGGGTCAGCGTCACGGTTCGCCACTGTCTAACAGGGAAGTCCCACAGCCTCCGCCTTCAGGCTTCCCGTGCTGAACCCCGAATTCCCAAAGGATATTCCCTGGGAGCTCCCTCGGCCCCGCCCAGAAGCCCGACTCTGAGTCCGATTGGACGGCAACGGAGGCCCCGCCTATCGCTCCTTGAGGTCACAGAGGCGGCCGCCTGTCAAGATCCGACCTTTCCCAGCATCTCCCGAAGGGAGAATTTTCCTGTCCGCTTTGGCTTCGCAGAGACAGGGGACGGAATTCTCGCCTTCGGCTTCCTCCCCTCCCTGGGCCCCAGCGCCCATCCTTCTGGCTCGATGCCCACGACCTTTGGGAAACCCGGCCGTCGAGCCACGGAGACGCGAGAAGGGCCCGTTCCCAGCCCTAGGACTATGACTCCCAGAAGGCCCCGGGATCTCTCCCTAGCCGATAACCGCCGCCAACCCCATAGCTTTATGGGAAATGTAGTTCAAGACTCATACTCGGTGCTCACTTCCTCCTCTACCCACTCTTCTGGGGCTG